CGTTCATACAACATAAACACAAGCTCACAATATACACCGAATACAACCAACCTTACACATCGCTCTACATAGAAAAAAGAAAGCCGTTCCAAGTTCATATGTTAAAAGTGAGAAGATATCATATCATGGATATAGTTGACATAATGAGAACCAGTACGACAATTGAATTGCCACCGACTAGAAACCATTAATAAAGTACAACAATCGCTAGGCTCCTAATACCGATAATAACAAAGCAGGAATGAAGCATTCAAATATAAAAACCCACGAAGAGGACATTCTGCTACCACTATCATGACCCTTTCAATTTAATGTTCTAAATCTACATTCAATGGTGCCATTGATAGTCGATCGATCGAACCAACTACAGCAGCTACGTCGTGTTCATGATTCGCTAGCTCCTCCGGAATCGAGTACAAAGGACTGCTAACCAGGCTTCGCGAGGTCGATACGCGACGCCCAACCACCATTGTCGGTGCCGAACTCACCGGACGTAGACGACCTGCAGCACTACCAGGTGATGGTCGAGGACGACGTCCAGACAGAATCGGCTGATCCTGGCTAGATGGCTAAAATACGATAATTTTGCTTCGTGTAAGAAAATATTCCGATGAAAATGGAGTTGAGGGGCAAGCGATTTCTCGTGCTTATCTTTGTTTCCAAGACAGTATTCTGCTGGCCTAACCCCATTCCATGACAACTTTTTTCGAAGTCAAAAAGCTTCACAAAAAGCTTTTCCCTGTGGCCTTAGGGGAAACGCTACATTGTTGTGGCTCATAAGTTTCCTTGGTACCATAAAAGGCTTCCTTCGACAACGCTTTATCGTCCTCTGCGCTGTAGCCTTCTGCGATAGAGGTACAAAGAGTCGCTCCCCATCACCTCATCATCACTGCTCACTGAGCTAAGCGATTCGCTGCACAAGCTGCCGGCCACTGAGCACCCAGCAGCTGCTCCCGCCCTATTTTTCAGTGGAAAACAAATACCTCCCGAATACAACTCTCAAGGAGCACCTTATCATGTTACCGATTACAATCGCCATAAAAACTTCAGGACAAACCTGTGTAAGGGGTCGGTAACGACGACGCCAATTACGTACAACCACTACATCCGCAATAGAAGAGATTGATGAAGAACGTGACGAATAAAACGACTGAAAGGGCAACATTGGAACATGTAGGATGAACAATGAATTTCTCGAGACGAAAAAATGGTTATTAAAAAATCACACCTCCGTCAAATCATCGTCATAAGTGTTCCTTTTCGAAGAAGAACGAAAAACGTAAAGAATTGCCCAGACAGGCATAAGAAATGAGATTATATCGTATGGGAATTTCATCAATGAATAACGCAGTTGATCGTGGTCCTAAACGTTAGCATATTGCTGACCATTGCTAGAAAGAAAGAAAATCGAATTAACTCACAAATATACCGCTGCAGCCTTTTTTGTCGTCTGCCAAAATGAACAGACTTACATGGTAACCGAGATCGACCAGTGCTGATGTTTCAAACGCCCAGAAAAGGCTGAAATTCAATTCTCATTGAAGTGCCTTTTGAGTAATAGTTTTACGACATACTCAAGAAAAGGATGAGCATTGTTACACATCAATGGGAAATGTCTAGCATGAAAATGATGCAATTGAGAGGATTCAGTTCACGAAAGCATGACATGTCACCAATTTCATTTTCAACAAACCTGAACAGATCACGTCGCTGATTAGCTCTTATATTGGGTGCAGCAGAAATCCTGTCCATACGCCGCAGTATTAGAAAGAACGAACCGACCATTAATTGCACCATCATAAATTCTCCAGCAGAGAACCAAATCCAATAAGGTGCTGCAAGTTCAATCAGGTCAATATAAAAAACAAAACCAAATCAATATAAAAAATGGTTTTCACATGCTCAACAAGCTTCATAAACGCAATTTTAAAAATAGTCGGCCTGGTCGCAGTTGACGATAGGTTTAACTAAGAGTTATGTTGTAGACCTTTCGAGGGCTTACACCGGAACCGTTCCCAGGAGGCGAAATAGGAGCCGTCAGAACTATTTTGGAGTCGATGAGAAATGGAGGGAGAGGGTAAGAGGGAGGGGATCTATTCCAAAAATTCCACTACACACGCAAGGAACATACTAGTACAGATATTATTGCACCCTGCAACATTATATCTACCCCAAGGAGAACTATACTTTGGATACCGTATCTTAAAAAGAATTTCGCCAAATGTTAACGATGTAAGGAACGACGAAAGATACTCTCTCACGTATAGTGGCGCATTTGAAAATTGATCAAGCTGTCCTTGTGAAA